AAAACTAACATGAACACACCAGCCTTTCTGACAGTGAGGTCAGGATGATTTTTTAATGTAACATTAATAATATTAACAGTCAAAATCTCAAAACCATAATTAAATAAATAGTTAATTTGAAATCATACTTCACCAGGATCATTTAGACATAGGAATTTATACATCCTGAATGATATATAAAAATACCCAATGTTCACCCAACAATGACTCCTATTTCAGTGCACAAGTTGTGTAAACAAAATTCTTCTGACTATAAACTTAGAAAGTGAGGCTTATCAAGTATCTGCACGTACCACAGGCAATGTACCAATCTGACTGCATATTTTACCAGCACCCCCTAAACACAACTAAATTAAAGTGAATCAGCGGCCACTTTTTTCCACTAAACATCTGTATACTTCAACATTGCTATGCTTTAAAAGGGGGGATATTTATTAGTCCATACTTGAGTATAGATACCTCTGTATCTGAATTTTTATCAGGGTGGAAAGAATGGCATCGGAACATCTCTGTTAACTCAGATTTTATTGGTTTTGGAGTTTTAGATTTCAACTGATGAACTGTATCTTAAGAGTTAAGATGAACCAAAAACATAGCTATTCTTTTTAACAATAAGGAGCCTTTCATCTTTTTTTGTGACTACTTAAAAAAAGAAAAAAGACCGTTTTTTATTTTGTTACATTCTCCCAATACCTAAAATATCCTTTGACGTCAGAGGGTCATCAATACATCCTGTTTTGGTGAGACTAAAAACAGACCCTTGACTGTCCTGTTTCAGGATATTTTAGTCACCACATTTGTTCTGTCAGCCTCATGTCTGACTTCTGTCTCCACAGTTTCGATAGCTTTCATTCAGCAGCAACACACTTGTGCTCTCTGAGACTCCTCATGGAGGAGAAGCTCTTGCTGCAGGTAGAGCAGCTGAATGGTTTCTGTCCCGTATGAACCAGCTGGTGAGCCTTCAGGTTGTTGTTCTGACTGAATCTCTTCTCGCAGATGGCGCACTCAAAAGGCTTCTCTCCGCTGTGGATGCGTTTGTGTCGAACAAGGTTTTGCGACACACTAAAGTTCTTCCCACAAACCTCGCAGATGAATGGCTTCTCTCCGCTGTGCGTGCGCTCGTGCAGCTGCATGCTGGCCTGTGTGGAAAAGGTTTTCTGACACTGAGCACAGCTGAATGGCTTCCCTTCTGAGTGGCTGCGTCGGTGCATCTTCAGGTAGCTTAGCGAACTGTAGCCACGCCCGCACACATCACAGGAGAATGCTTTGTTACCGCTGTGCAGCTGCAGATGAGTTTTCAGGATCTGGGCACTGGTGAAGCTTTTTCCACACTCGTCACAGGTGTGAGATCTCTGACCACTGTGTGCCAGCTGGTGGCGTTTCAGCGACGATGATGAAGAGAAGTTTTTTCCGCACTCACTGCAGTTGTACGGTTGGACGCCAGTGTGACTCTGTTCATGTGCCAACAGAGCGCTGCGCTGTCTGAATCCCTTCCCGCAGCTGTTGCAAATGAACGCCCACTCACCACTGTGCACGGTCTGATGCGCCTTCAAGTGCACAGCCTGTGTGAAATTGCGACCACACTCATCACAGCTGAATTCCCGGCTACCAGAGTGGACCAGCTGGTGGCGCCTCAAGTTAGCTGACACACTGAAGCGTTTCCCACAGGCGTCACAGCTAAAGGCCTTCTCTCCTGTGTGAACACGACGGTGTACTGACAAGCTGCTCCTGCTGGAGAAACTGTTTCCACATTGCTCGCAAGTGTGCGGCCTCTCACCTGTGTGTGTCCTCAAGTGGGCTTTGAGGCCGCTCTGCTGGCTGAAGGTCTTACTGCAGATGCTGCAGATAAAAGGCCTCACACCTTTGTGGATAGTGAGCAGGTGAATGTGAACGCTGCGTTGTGCGGTAAACCCTTTCTCACATGTTGGACATTTGAAAGGTTTGTCCTTCTGATGGACTCTCTGGTGTGCAGACAGGTAGCTGTGTTTGGAGAACTGCTTCCCGCACTCTGCACACCTGAATTTGTCATTTGTTTTCTGACAGCTCAGTCTGTGCTGTGGGAGGCAGCATCGTGCTGCCAGTACCTTGCCACAGGTCGGACACTCGAACACCCCGCCACGCTGAGCCCGGCTTGACATCTGGTGTGTCCTCAGGTGGCTCCGGGTGCCAAACAGTTTTCTGCAGTGAGAACACCTGTGGGGCCGTTGCTTGTTGTGCACCGTGAGTTGGTGGACTCTGACACTGCTCCGGGCGGAGAATGCTTTCCCACACGTGGGACAGGTGAAGGGCCGCTCTCTGCTGTGGACACGCAGGTGAGCGTTCAGGTTGGCACGTCTGGAGAAACTGCTTCTGCAGATGCTGCAGCTGAAGGTCTGTCTGCCTCCCATGGCAGGACTCTGCTCCTTTGAGGCGGTTTCAGCTTGAGGAGCTTCTGACGGGTGGCTCACCTCGTCCTGGGTGTCCCCCTCAGCTGCAGGGAGGGTGGAGTCCTGCTGAGGCTCATCTGTATAGAGAAATGCCATTACTGTGAGCTTAGTGGGAAACACATGGACGTCATGGGGCTCTTAATGATAACAACATGGTAGTTCAACAAAGGCCCTTACTGTCCTCCTGTCGCTTGTCTGTCAGCTCCTGGTTCTGCTCCAGCAGCCTCCTCAGCTCCTTCAGCAGAGCCCCACAGAGACTCCTCATCACATCCAGCAGCTGCTCCTGCAGGACACAACATGAAGACAGATTATAAGTATACACATTACACTGAGGAGAACTGAACAGCTGCTAATTCATTTTAAACAAAACAAAGCTAGTTACAGTGCCTGAGGTGTTTACTTTGGATCTGTGTTTATTCAACTGAAGGATGCATTTTGTGCTGCTAAACAGTGATTCTGTCGTTTAGTCCAGCCTTGACTAGGCTGATTAAATTAGACTGGTATATGTGAACTTCTTAGCTCCTAATTTAAAACCTTATTTAAGTGGAAGTCAAATCTTTAATTATGTAATATTGATTCGATCTATTTCCCTGAGACAGGTGACACATTCACGGCGTTTGAAGAACAGCTGTAAACAAGAACCAAACTTAAAAAAAATAAATAAAATAAAATAAAGTTTTTGAGTTGTGTTCAGGTGACTGACCTCTGTCTTTGAGTTTCCAGCAGGTTCATCTTTGAGTCTCTGGCAGGTTTCAGTCACAGCAGTCAACATGAACTCCTCCAAGAAGGCGGACACGAGCTTTTCCACAGAGGACGACATTTTTTTATTACAAAACGCATCAAATTTAATACGAAATAAAAAAGTACCACCCGGTTAAACGAAAGGAGTTTGTGTGTTGTTTTCATCTGGCGGCCATTGCTAGGCGTTTTTGCGACACACTGTGCGCACTGACGGCAGATTTTGACGAGACTGAAGAGGAAAAGGCCCGCTCTCGCCCCCTGCTGACTGGAGGTCACATTTACAGAGCCAAAACCTTATGGATTGAGTAGAATAGAGAGAAACGCTCCAGATTCAATACCTCAAGCATTTTAACACTCAGTCATTCTGATTTGTCATGTGAAAATATCACTCCATTCAAATGTCATACTTATTGTTTTTTACCTGCAGGGATTCACAGTTCGCAGACTGGAGGCAGCTTTGTTTTCATTTCTTTTCCACAGAAGGCTTTATACTGCCCTACAAAGGCAAAAGACCTTAACTCGCCAGAGTGTAGAACTGAGAAAAATGACTTTAAAGTCTTTTTGTTGTCCAGCCAAATGAGTTGCAGGCAGAATATTGGAAATGTGGAAATTTTTTGTCTTTTTAATCAGGTTATTAATGTTCATAAAAATCTTTAGCTCAAACATGACCTTTGACCCTTATTTGGAAGTTAAGGTACTCTGCCTTTGCATTGCCTGTACAATAATACGGGGCATTAACTTCCATTTGATACTGTATTTCACTTGGTTGCATGGTTAAAATAACACAACCAACACTATTTCTTTGCTACACTTTAGTCAAGCTGCTGTGTGTGTCAGAAGTGCTTGATGATAGATATTAAAACAAAGACATAACACCTTAACTCCACTGCAGTAAAACAGTATCTTCACTTTGATCCACAGCAGTACAAAGACCCTTATACGTGAACTTACTGGACTCTGCCTTGGTTTCTCAAGGGCTTTTGGAAGTTAAGGCAAATACAACCTACTATTTTCTCAAAAAAACAACACAATTGACTCAAGATATCTGTCCACATAATAAAGCACATCTGTAATGTTCCAAAAATGACAAAAACTCATTTTTGAAAAAATTACTGCCTTTTGCCTTTGTAAGGCAGTATAGCAAGTGATACGTTTGTAAACAAACACCAAGATGTGTTTTTTCGTCTGCAAATACTATTAGACAAGATCATGATCAGCAAAGCATTGGGGTGTACCACTTTTCCTACAGGGACCATCCTTTTTCAAAGTTTATATAACCAGTTAGAACCTCATTTAGGAATTTAAGAGTTTAAGAATCTCTTTTACAAGAGTATTGTGGCCAAGACAACTAGTAGGACACAAATTTGCAGACTACAACACATTTAAAATGACAAAACACAGGAAAAAAGTACCATGGTAACAGAGCAGAAAGTCATTAGACAAACAGCCCGATGTATCAATCTACTTTTGAAATGATTTAAAGAGACCAGAGTCCAGTTCCCCCAGCAGCATTCCTGAAACACCTTTTCCCATTTTAAGATGTCTGGGTCGCAGAGTGAAGACTGTCCTTCCAGCACTTTTCACATGAATAAAATTAAACAAGTATGAGGAAAGCAGGATAAGTATAGCCTTTAAAAAAAAGGACATGCCAATAATTATGTCTACAAGTAGATAATGCAAGCCAGCAAATTTGATCATACAGAGTTTAGTTAAGTAATAATGCTTCAAAGTATACAGTATCCAAAGATTGAAGGCATTGACAAGATGAATGCATATATCACCATAGTCAATTAATGGCATTAAAGTAGCAGTAATGAGGTGACAAACTGAACATTCCTCAAAGCAGCTTTAATGATTCAAAAGGTTTTATTTTGTTGTTTCTTATCAAGTTAAAAACACAGATAACAGTATTTATTCATCAGTAAAAGTTTATTACTTGTGTTTGATCAGATCCACTGTAAGTCAGCAGCAAACTATGTATGCTTATCTGTAATATCTGTTTACAAAAAATGTACGCGTCAAATAAAAAGACTTCTGCAATACAAGCAGATATTATCAAACTTGATTCAGAGCTTGTAGGACTTACACTTTTAATTGATTAGAAAACATTGTAATCATAAAAAATCTGGAATTAATACATTATTTAATCTCATGATTAAGTCATTGTTACAATCAGTGAAAAATACTGAATGTATATGTCACAGCTGTTAAAATAAAAAACTCCTGCAAGATCTCTTTAGTCCCAGTTGATCAACATTAACACACATTAACGTCACAGTGATACACAGAGAACAGATTGCAGAATAATCTTAGGCTACTTATTGTGCTGTTTGTGTTGTGAAATGTTCTGCAGTTTTCATCCAACAAATTTGTGCTTGCAAGAGCATAATGGTACTACTCCTCTCCCATGTCTCTAAATTGTGCTAACTTGTAAATTAGCTTTCGCAGTGTTGTGAAGTTCAAAGACTTGTCATACATACATTCTGTATGTTTTCGACAGGCATCCATGTTTTCCTGAATTGAACGTCTGGAAAAACAACTTGCAAATGTTGATTTCTTACTTGGACTGCAGCACCTTGATATGTGCTGTCTCTGAACGTCGTTAGTTCTACTTGAGAAATGACGATGTAATCTATACTGGCCCATCCCAACTCTTCCCAGTGTTCCAAACAGTTTGTAAGGACACGATGTTCATCCTCCGTGCTACTGCTTCTTCTTCTTCTACTACTGTTTTCCTCTCTGCTTCCTGTAGAGCTCGTGGGCCTGAATGATCTCATTGACGACAGAGGCATCGTCCAGAGTTGACACATCACCAAGGTCACCTGGTCCAGTTGTCTCCATGGCAACCTTCCTGAGGATCCTCCTCATGATCTTCCCAGAACGAGTTTTCGGCAGACGCTTCACCACCTGAGACACAAACAGGTAAGAACTTAGTTTGCTTGGTTACTTTCAGCCGTCTGTAAATGTGAAGTTACGATTTCAGATTTTTTTTATCTGTTTCCATTGAAAACCAGAGTCGGGCAGGATCTTACCAGGAAGTGCTCTGGGACGGCATATTTAGCGATCTTTGTGGCCACAAGTTCTCTGAGCTGCTGAAGGACGGCGAAGGGGTCGTCAGCAAACTCCTCCTTCAGAACCACAAAGGCAAATGGTACTACACACACACGCACACGCACGCACGCACGCACACACACACACACACACACACACACACACACACACACACACACACACACACACACACACACACACACACACACACACACACACACACACACACACACAAAATGAAGGAAGATATTAAGAGAAAAGAAAATCTAAAAGAAAGAAAGAAAGACAGAATCTTGCCCAAATAGTCAGTCCTTCAATACACCAGCAGAGGGCAGCAGAGGGACACAAATCAAACCAACTTCATCTTCAGCAGTTTGTCTCAATAAATTCATCTTATTTTTACTATAAATCAACTAAATATGACTGATTCACTGATGAAAAAAAAATATATTTTACATATGTCATAAACAGTATTTAATTAATATAAGACTGAAGATATGTTTTTCTGAGACGTATTTCAAGTGTGTGTTTTTTTTCTTGATCACCTCATCTAAATCCTTTACACATGTTTGTATCTATTCAAATCTATGCTCTTCCATAATATAAACATCTGCTGTTGAGCTATTCATGCAGCCCAGCAAAATTATTTTGTATATGCTTTGAAATGTAAAAAAAAACATGCTTTGGTTTTATGTAATGTATTTTAATCTTTGCAGATGAATATTAAAAAGTGATATCAGTGTGCATGTTCTAAGAAGAATCTTGCCATGTTATCTAAAACATTTTTCTCAGTAAATGGCATTTACCATTCTTCACTGTTCTCCAGAAAGACAACCGTCCATCTTTGAACATTATCAAGAAAGTTTTGAAAGTTTCATTATATCTTTCTCTTGCTGATCTACTGTCTAAACAAGAGCCCACCATTACACATGTTTACATATAAAGAGCAGCAGAGGATAACAGGAGATCAGGCGTGTCAGCTGTGTCTTAACCCTCACCTTCTCCTTTGATGTCATGTGGGAAACCAATCACAGCTGTTTCTGGAACCGCTGGATGTTCATCCTGCAACACAAACAACAACATTGATTTATGTTCAGTTTTCAGCTCAAAATACGAAGAAAACTCATCTTTTAAATTTGAGACACAGTCGCTGACAAGGAGTCCTAACAGCAGCATTTATCTAATTTTATACCACTTCCTCATTTCATAAGCCGGCTGTTGCTTCAGCTGCAGCGTAACCCTAGCTCGCTTCGATTCTAGTGAGTTAGTTACAGGTTCATAATTTTTTTCTAAATTAAATACATAGTCACTGTGTCTAGCTAGTACATAGGTTATATAAGTAACCAAAACCAAACCAAAATAAATGTAATTTTGCTGGTATTTTATTGGGAAAAATTGGTCAACCGGAAGTTTGAGTTGTGTTCATAAATTATTTTATGGTCTGACTCCTACCAACAGATGTGATATCACTGACACGTCTGAATGCTGCTGAAGGCTATGTTTGTCTGCATTTCTTCCCATGTCTCTACATGTAGCTTTGTCTAAGCAGTAAAACTGAGTTCCCCTTCTGGGATGAATGAAGTTGTCTAAATCTGAATCTCAATTTATGATTTGTCAGGTCTACCAACAAGATAAGTGAACGGGTTATAAAATTCATGTATGTTTTGATGAATTTGCAACAGCGATTTCAGATTCAAGAAAAACTAAACCCCCGCATTTGTGGGTTCATTACCCCACTCAGGAGCATGCACAGTTTTAGGAACTGTTTCAATAACTTCACTCCAGCTTCCTTTTAGCGAGGATTAGGAACAAGATTTCACTGATTTGCAGTGAGTACTGCCCATGGAGCGCCTGTCCATCTGTTTAAACTGAGTGGTCTCATATCTGGGATCCTATATTGGCACATACCTATAATAACCCAATTTTTGCTGTTATTAAGCTGAAACAGCGCATAATGCTGGTTTGAGAGAAGAAATTGAGTTCCAAAGAGCAGAAAAATGAAAATTGTAAATTTAAATGAGATCTGGTATGCATTCCTAAAGATGCAAATTCTATTGCATCTTTAGTAAGTATAAAATCTATTTACTCTTTTCTTTTTAATTTGCATGTAATTGCACTGTGCAAATGTTGGCTTCACTTTGTTCTGAACACAACTTTTACATTTATTTTTCTCAATATTTTATTGGCAGTAAGATTTGTGATATGTGGTACTATAATCAGACTTAAACTAAGAAGAAGTCTCACCAGAGCATCCTCTATCTCTGCCGTACCGAGGCGATGGCCACTGACGTTGATGACATCGTCCATCCGGCCAGTTATCTGGTAGTAACCATCCTCTGTCCGGTATGCTCCATCACCAGTAAAATAACAACCTGATAGACAAAAAAACCTAAGCTCAAAGACTGTGATCATGAAATGATTAAATGCAGTCTGTTTTATACTGACCAGGATACGGTTTGAAGTACGCATCAACGAATCTCTGGTGGTCTCCATAGATGCCTCGAGCCATTCCCGGCCATGGCTGACTGATACACAGAGCGCCACTGACAGAGTTTCCAGAGAGAGGCTCACCCTGAAAATCACACAATATACAGGTTGGTAAAAATAAACTCATATTTTACACAATAGTACAGACAATACGCAAACCAAACATGGAAACTAGCCATACTCATACTCAAACATTTCTGAGTATTTAAAATATCCTTCAGTCCTCAGTCTGTGACAAGAAATAATGTGGGACCTGTTAGCGTCAGCTTCAGTTGAATAAAAATCTTGGATTTGCTCTATCCTGAATCTGTTAGCAAGATGCATGACCTGGGACCTGTTAGCTTTAGCCTTGATAAGTTTGCAATTCATTTGTTTGATAAAATAATAATCAGAACTTTTAGCTAACAAGCCTCAACCAACTACCTGTTAGCTCTAGCCAGTCTGTTAGCATGATATTTTAAATTTTAACCTGTTCAGCCTTAATTTGTAAGAATGATTTCAACCTGTGAACCTTCAGCGTTTGCCTCACAGCGTTTAACTACTTTTACTTTTGATTCTACATTTAGCTGATAATGCTACCATATGATTTGTAATTTTTTTTTACCTGTAGGCCTTCATTTTTTTAGTGTTGGGTATGAGGCTACTCCAACAAATGATAGGCCGAAACCTTTTTCCACCAGTGCACAAAATAGTAAAACAACACTCACAATATGTTTGTTTGTGTCATTTTTATCAAAGCACAACATGATCCACCATATTAATGACCACTATCACAATTCCGTAAGAGCAAATTTAGTGTTATTGGAGACACACTGTTCTTGTCCTCACTTAGAACGAGGCCAGTGTTAAGTGGTACAAATAAATCCTGCACAAACTGTCTATTAATCACAAAGGAGCCGTGCTCATCTGCAGTAAGTAAAGTGCAGTAAGTGTTAACTCTGAGAGGATTGGAATGAAAGTATGACCTCCTCAAGGGATGAAATGCGAAACTGAAGCAGGCCTAATGAAATCTAATCTAGACTCAGTAACCAGTGATGATGAAAAACCCTCGAACACTCGAGATTACAGTCCTATAACAGAGCGAGGGAAATGAGGAAACTAGGGGATAATTAATTTGAAGGAGCAGCGATCATCCCAACTGAGCCTGAAAGTCTGTTAATCAAAGCAAACATATGCTACTGGACAGTTTTAATTGAAAGCTTTGACTTCGAAAGAGAGAGGGTGTCATTCGAAGGCTTGTTTGACCCCTTTCATCTCAAGATCAAGTAGGGTTAATGCAAAGCAGAGATAGATTACATCTGAAGTGCATATGAGGAAACCACTTGCTCTCAATGTCGCACTAATATCAACAGAATCTGAATAGTTTCTTCTTGTATCCAACAGGATTCATTTGTTCAAAGAATTTTAAAGACAGAGAATCAGAACAGTACATATGAAGCTACAGCTGGAGCTGGTGAAGTTTTGCACATAACTGGAACCATGGGAAAACCGCGAGCCAGGCTTATCTGTACAAAATACAAACTACAATTTGTGGTTTTAGAAGACGCTATTTGATACACTGTTCTATATCTTTTTTCTGGATGCATAGACAGAGTAACTTTGTGGTTGCAAAGCTTTGTGTTAAGGTCACCTTCTCTCCCATGAGAACCGGCTGGATGCCAAAGAATGGCCTCATGGCCATTGCTGGGACAATCGGCGCTCCTTCCTCTGAAGGTCGAGGGGCGATACAGACTCCGCCAGTCTCTTCAGAAGAGGAAGAACATAAAATATTATTCTGTGTCAAAGAAGGGAAAAAATCCTTTAAAGATAGAGTCAGTAGCTGTTTCCTAAAAAATCAAATATAGACTTATACAAAAGTAATGGAGATAAATGATCACTAATGGGCATACATGTGTGTTGGTGACTGTGTCGGCCCTGTCCCTGTCCTCTGCCAGGATTTTGATGTTTTGTTTTGTTTCGGTTGACAACGGACGCTTCTGGGCAGGAATTGGATGTGTTTCCCCGAGCCAATGACAGCTCACAGGTGAGTTTAGGAATGGATACAATTCAGTGATTGGTCGCGATTCAAACCGTCAAATATGAATATATGGAGGTTGTGTCAAAGAAAAGAAATACCACACGGATAAAGCTTGTTTCTATCAGCGTCCTCTGGCTGCCAGTAGAGAGCTTCAGATGTTGTCTCTATAGACCCTGTTAGTGTTGACGGTGTGACGTTTTTTTCTGTGGGCGGGGCTTAGCTGGAGGCAAAACAATCATCCAGACACTTTAGCCAAGCTAGCTAGCAAGTTGTTTTTGGCTTGCTTTCAACTTTTGCAGAAAGAAATCCAAGTCTCTCTGAGTATATAAAGTCACTTACTCTCGGGAACCAATAGTGATACTGGAATAAGTAAACACTGAACCGGAGCAGACTGCCCGACCAGTACACTGTCACTCGATGGATGATGTGACAGGACTGCTATAAACCCGAGTGTGTAAAGTAAAGACAAACTGAGGGTGTAGAAGTCCATAGATGCCTATATGTGAATGGCCATGTACAGGACTTGAAATACCACAATTTTACTAATGAGTTTTTTTTTGTTGTACGGTCCTAAGTTCTGCCCTGTCAGTGCAGGGACAGAAGACAGCCATGTACAAGGCTTGGGTCATTGTCATTAGAGCAAACAACTACAGTACATCATGACAGGGAACTGGGTATGTAGTGAACCTACAGCATATATTTGGAAGAGGTTGTCAAACTCATTACTTAACTGGTATCTGTGTGACTGTTACAGGTTTACATACATGAAACAGCATTTTGTTTAACAACTATTAGCCACACTTGTTAAGTTAGCTATGTTATGAGAATAGCGACATGTTACATGTTGCTGGCAGTGCAGCTAATAGGATTTCAGTTTTGAGACGTTACTGTCTACCCATGTGGTTACGATTAGTTTTTCCCTCTAGTTTAACTTTGTTTTGCCTCCAGCCTACACCGTGACATCATTGTGACTGAGGCCCTCAAGGGGTCTACAGGCCTACACAGCTTTAATTCCCTTTAATTTCTTAATTTATTGGGGATTTTTCTTCTTTCAAGAGAAAGAAGCAGCTGGCAGAGATTTTAAAGCGTGATGTAAAAACAACACGCACACACACAGTTCTCTATTTCGTGATTGTCGAGGAATTAGGTCATTCACACACACACACACACACACACACACACACACACTGCTGTCAATGATCCTCCGTCTTCTCAGGCGGGTGTGAGTGGTTGCTGTTGGGGGTGTAAGTGTTGAGGATTTGATCTTAATTCATTTTCCGCAGAGCTGCAGATGTTCTGGTGCTAATCGTTCAAATTAGGGTTAAAGCTTCAGTAAAGAGAGAATCAGACAGACTTACAATCGGATCAACAGTCAGAACCACAAACAAGCTAACACACAAGAAAAGAGACGGACAGAAAACCACATCACAGATCTTTTTCAGGATTTGTTCATTGGTCCAAACAGAAGTTATGCTGGTTCCAACAGTATCGATCACCTGTCATTTCGTTCAGTTTCTCAGCTGCATGTGCCAGAATAAGCTTCAGTACATCGCTTGAAAGCTTCTTGAAAGTAATCAATCACACACGTGCAGATGAAACAACTGTTGGATAAATTGTGATGACATGTTCTATATACCATTACGATGACTTTGTTAATGTTTTGTAAGGGCACACTCTCTGGCTTCTCACTGGGGTTGGTGAATGAATCACCTAAGTGCAGAGTCAGGTGTGTTTGTAGCTGATTGGCCTTGATTAAATCCAGGTGTGGGGAGTTTATATAAACTCTGTGCTGACTCATTATCTCACCTTCAGAGGTAGTGAGAGGGTCTCCTTGTGTTGTCTGTGTGTTCATAAACACAAACAAATAACTTTCTGTATATTTCTGTATATTTATGTCTATTGCTAAAATAACTTGGGGTGCTGGGTAGTTGATATACCCCAGTCAGCTGCTTGGCAGCAGTGGTTTAGTTAATCATTTTCGGTGCATTAGTTAGAAGGGTGTTTTGGCTCCATACTATTTTCATTGTTCCCTACCCCCTACCCCCCCTCCAATCTATCGCTTGCGATTTTTGTGGTTATACTTCTTGGATAACCACAAAAATCTTTAAGACACCCTTGGGTCCGCACCTGTGTCCCACTTTCCCGTTTTCCTGACAATGTTTGGTGATCTTCTGACTTCTCATCTAGTGCCATCATCAGGGAAATAATATATTAACATATTAATATGTCTTGTACTTTGATTTATGTATGAGCCAGACTTAAACAGTAGATAAAAAGAATAAAAGAGCTTGTGTAGCAATTTTCTAGTCTCCTGACTACTCAAAGCACTTTTTCACCACACGTCAAACCCATCCATTCACACACTGATGGCAGAGGTTGCTATGAAAGGTGACCATTAGAAGTAACTAATCCCAATTATATACACTCATACACCACAGACGATGCGGCGGGAGCAATTGAAGGTTAAGTGTCTTGTCCAAGGACACATCAGACATGTCGCAGGAGCTGCGGATCGAACCCCAGACCTTCCGGCTGAGAGACAACCGACTCTACCAACTGAGCCACAGCCGCCCATACCATTGTAAACATGAAGCCAAACTGTAAATACATTCTCTAATCTCCTCATAAGTTAGGTGTTTTTCCCTCTGAAGGCTAAGGCATTTGCAGAGGCACAGAGCTGTGTATCTTCACTGGTCTCACGATTCAACTCAATTACGATTATCCTGTCTATAATTCAACTCTGTTTGATATCACAATGGATCTTAAATGTTATATTACTGCACATGGCTACTTTTTTTTATCAATGAAGACAAGCAGTCAGATAAATATGAACTCCATTTTCATTAATTATGAAGTGATTTGGAAATCAATGTCAACATAAATGTCTTTACATTGTAAACCAAAACAAATGAATTACAAAGGTCCACCTGCAGCCGGAATATCTACAATCAACATCAGAAGAATGCATCGATTATGTTGCAGAACAAGTTGAAGCAGAATCGTCCACATCTGCATTGTACAAATGATTCATTTTAAACACCCCTAGCTCATATTAGCATTCACAGCAGTATCAGAATTCAACCTACATTAAGTCAATGTTGCACTTTATGGAGTAAAGGTGTGTGTCCTACTCTGTTGTTTAATTTGAATGTTTGAATGAATCAAAAACACAGTACTATCAGAAGTGCCATGAAGATACAAGGAAAGAAGAGTCCATAATACTTTATGATAACATGTCACATTTATAAACTGTAATATAGTTACCAACTTACAATAAACCCGTTAGTAGTATTTTATAGTATGTAGTGTAGACGTTAATGAGTTATTTCAGTCACAGATCTGTTAATACTCTACTTTTATGCCAGCTACCTGACTTTGATCTTAAATGGTGCCACTTCAGGATGATTACTATATCTTACCATTAGATTCTCCAAATGGAACCAAATCTTTTGCAGCCATTCTTGATGATCACCTTAATCAACTGGCCAAATACAGTAGGAATTCATCAATGGGTGCTGCTGTGACATGTTTTTATCAGTAGCTGTGGGGTTCATGGATGGACTTTTGGCAGTTGCTCTTGTGTAATGTTGTTGCGGTTGTGTAAAAGCTTCTAACTGAATGGATGATTGTACATGTGTGTGTAGGTGTCAACCTTAGTGTTCCCTACCTGTCTGCCACCAGGTGTCCACTAAAGGACACCGTCCATCTCCAACCACATCATGGAACCAGTGCCAGGCCTCATTGTTGATAGGCTCTCCAACTGCAGACACACAAATACACACACACACACGCACACGCACACACGCACACACACAGTGTCATTTAAATCTAATCTAATGTGGGTCATTAATACACTGACTATTGAGCAATGGTCCGTTCATAGATCTAATCAGATGTCTGGTGTCTGATGATGTTAAGACAAAGACGTCAATCAGGAATTTTACTCTGAATTCTAATCTTATCTTAAAGTCAGTCACAAAATGTTCAAACTGAAACCACGCTGTTCTTATGTTGACGTTTTAGAAGAGTCATTTGAATCACCATGTGTTACCTGAACCAAGCGTCCTCAGGGACGAGCGGTCGTATTTCTTCACCCAGCTCTCATTGTACTTAAGCAGCAGACGTAGAGCGGTGGGAGCTCCATAAAATTGAGTTATCTTCAGACGCTCCACTGTCTCCCAGTACCTGCCTGAAGTACCAAAGTCCGCAGTACGCAGAGTCATGTAGAAACACATTAAACACACACGTTTACCTGTATTGTCATTGGTGTTAAACAGTTATTAATTTCATTCAGTTGTTGTTTTTTAGTTAAAGCATAGCACCGCCCCCGCTTCCCCCACCTGTGCCTCTTCCTGGACATCTTGACCCAGTGCTCCTTTATAAATATCTGTCACAACAAACCAGTGACAAAAATGTGGTCAAGAGTTTAAATTAAGCAATGTCATGAATTCTAAAGGTTTGCTCAACTTCTGGAGACTTCCTGTTGTGCCAGAGGTCACATCACCTTTTGGAGACTTCCTGTTGTGCCAGAGACAGACCGACCAAGAACTCAGAAGACAACACCAGACAATAAAACCATAGAGGTGAGATAAACTTGCTCATCTCCACAACTGACGGTAATAAACTAACGTTAACTGCTTTAATGAGTAACCAAACTTTGGAAAGAGGCCACCACCACTGAGACAGCATTCTCTCTGTTAACTAACGTTTGTCAGTTTTCATACCTCAGGACCTGAACTTAACTACAAGGTTCAATGACACAAGAAAAATATATCTTATATGACACTGAAGGGCACAGCAATGCTTTCAGAAACAATGGAGAAAAGTTAGCTTGTAAGCTAACCAACATGAATAAATTGGCTAAGCCAGTTGAGAAGCACTGGTCTAGAACATTAACACGTTAGTGGGCAGGGTGCCGACGTTCACAAAAATCTACTTTTACTGCTCCCCTCAGCTGTCAGTATATTCTTTTCCAATGGTTTGTTTGTTTGTCTTGGGGATATATCCTTGTTATGTTTTGACCCCGAAAACAGTCAGCATTACTGAAGAATTCCCCTCCTCTGCCTCCACCTACACACTCTTACCAGGTGTTGCCCACTCACCTTCAAAAAAGTCAGGACCTGAATGCCTGAAAATTGTCTGAAAATTATTCAGAGTTCATGTGTGATATGGGCCAAAAGCGGCTTTGAAAATAGACGAGTGACAGATCAATAGAAGACACTCAAGTCTAATTTCATGTCTTGTTTACAACTGTTTTCAGCATGAAACATAGCTCCAACCATGCAGTTCTCCATCTTAGCTGTTGTTGATTTTATATGTGCGGTGCTGTATCAACCTCTTGAGAGCTCATGTCGCTTCAGCCCTCCCATTGGCTGAGTGAATGACTAAAGCACAGAAGGCCTTGAACATTTGTAGTTCTCAGAGAGCTCCTGTGAGGTGGAACAGTGTCTAACTTTTAACTGTTAGTGGACATGGATCTTACCTGGGTTTGGATAAACAGGTGTGCTCTCAAACAGGACAGTGGTGGCGCCGTTACACAGCGGGCCGTACACAACGTAGCTGTGTCCTGTTATCCATCCTACATCTGCCACGCAGCCAAACACATCACCATCCCGATAGTCAAACACGTACTGATGACATCACACAAACACATGAGAGTTAATACTTTTTGCGGGATTTTAAAATCCCTCTGAGGACAGAGTGACAAGAGATGTCTGTTTCTTATTCCCAACTTTGCATTTTCCTACCTTGTTGAACAATGTACAAACTTTCATTGAAATGCCCATTACAGTTTTTTTTTTGTTGGAAATGTATTTCAATTTGTAGTTTTTAAGTACAATTTGACATCACATATTGCAAATCTAAATACCACATTTTGTGGGAGTTTATATCTGTGAAGCTCTATATTTGGTATCCCAGGCTTAAACAGTGCCATATTAGGTTTAAGGTATTTTTGCACAATTTTTTTTCAATAACATTTCCCTATACACATTCCAGCATGTGTGAAATGGGCCACTGAACCCACTGAGATGTCCTTTGATCAAAAAGAGTTTGAATAAGAAAGAGTGTTGTACGTTAGGATGCATGTATTGTTCCCAAAAAGTTTTATTCATTGCATTATAAACGCCCAATGAGGAGCTTTAAATGGTAAACTAAAATTAACTATCTTAAATAAGCTTTTTTTGGTCGAATACTGTACTTTAGCTTAAATTTAAAGAAAGTTGTACCAACAGTCAACAGTTACTGAATAGGATCCTGCAGGACGAAATAGTATGATGAGTCAATTCTGTAGACTTCCTGAATACTTGTAGTGTAAAAAATGAATGAGTAAATAGTATTGCCTGTTTAGTAGGAATGAGGAGTTGTTTTGGTCAGAAACAAATAGCTCAAGAGTCGATGTGAGGTGCCTAGCAACACAACCTCCCACCCTTTCTCTTTCACTCTCTGTGGCAATGTTTCTCACCCTGGCGTGGACCCAGCAGTCCTTGTCTTTTTCAGATAAAGCAGCTTTTGTTTTGTTGTTTCATCCAAACAAGCAACGAGCCAACCCCCCCCCCCCGCACCATGAGCCAATAAGCTGCTTTAGAAATTAGCACTGATAAATATTTGGCATTGATGGAGTGTGGAGGGGGGGAGGTTATTATGGTTTATGTTTTATTCAATTATCATCATAAACATCAGGTCAATCCCTGCAAACACACATGCAGAGAAAGCAGATGTTTCAGCCTGTCAATCAGAAATAAACCTAATTTGAAGCTTTCAGGGGCAGATTTGGCCGCAGGGCTGCATCCTCCTCCTGCTCCAGGCTGCTCTGAGGACAAACAGCAGCGTTTCTGTTCAGCCTGTTTTGTAACATCTTTCCTTTGTCTTGTCTTCCTCATTAAAACATCAACACGCCCAGAGCCAGACAGAAAGCTCTGGTGTTAAGCAAGGACGCTCATTAAGCGTTGGCAGATTTCATTCTTACCAACATTTACTTTATATACACTGATCTGAAAACTTTTTCAACTTTACTCCTGTCTAAGTCTGTCTTAGGTCATCCTACAAAGTAGCTTTCTCTGTGCCAAACATTATGAAAATGTACCTGATGTGTGAGTGAGGTGTACAGCAGGTACCCAGCCTGCGTGTGGACGATGCCTTTAGGTTTCCCTGTACTGCCTGAAGTGTACAGAAGAAACAGCAGATCTTCACTGTCCAGAGGCTCCGCAGGACAGACTGCAGACTGACGGGCCATCACCTGCAAAATGCAACATGAGACTGTACTACAACTGCTGATAAAACTATTAATACTACTATAGAACTGAAGACTGACAGAACATCACCTGTAACATACAACATAGAACTGATTACCTATCCAAAAACTAAAGATTCCTAACATACAATCGGAAAAAAAGATGATGTTTCCATGCAATCTACTGGAGCAGAAGTTCTAAAGAAATTCTTAACAATGCTTAAAAAGTAAATCGAACTCTAATTCGATTCTTGAAAAACAAACCTCAGCCTTTCTCTTTAACTGGTGTCATTGATTAAAACTTTCTGCTTTACAGGGATGTGTTTTGAATGAAATAATTTAAAGTTTTTTAACTGTCATACAGCTCGCTGATGAATCAAAACCAGTATAATTAAGTCAGGTAGCATAACGTGTTCAGGTGTCGACTAGGTGAGTGTGTCAGCTGTTTAAACTATACGAAGAAGACCATGTGCTTGTTTCAGGTGTTTGGATCAAACAGTCCTTTACCTCCTCCAGGGGGATGTCCAGCTCTCCCATGGAAGTAGGAGTTTCTGTCCTATGAGAGACAAACACGTTTCGGACAGTCGGGCAGCTCTTCACCGCCGCGTCCACTGTCGGTTTCAAAGGAATCCGTCGGCCACCCCGCACACCTTCGTTACAGGTGATCACAGCTTTACACTGAGCTGTTGACACAACACACACACACACACACACACGCTTCATTCATGTTCACCTTGGCTTTTTAATTGCTTCTGGGCACAAATTATTTCATTATTTTACTATTTCAGAGTAATATCACACGCACATCACATGGTCTGGCTGCTGGCAGTGCTTGTTGTGGTTTCCACATATTCCTGAACGTGAACTCAGCTACACTCTCTTTCATGGTTCATTTCTCCTCCTGCTCATACCATGTTTGGTTTTGTAGTCAGAGACTGTTTCCAAAACACAGAAGTCCTTGGGCAGCGAGTCTGACCTCCAGTGATCTGTTTTAGCTAACAGCCACAGAGAGCTGCAGCTCAGTTAATATCTGCAGTGGGTTGAGGATTGAGCAGGTAGAGCAAGGCATTCATTCTGCCACTGTTTAAGGTGCACTATGTAGATTTGGAAGTGAAATTTGAAAGTTGGAGAAGTGAAACAATTCTCTGCTAAATTTTCTGAACTAAATAAACAAACTTTATTCAAAGGAAAAATGGGGCCCTGGAACACTGTTTTGAGCTAAAAAGCTACCAAGAGAGTTTCGTTTTCACTGTTGCGGGCCCACCACCATAACCTCTCACGTAGCATTTTATCTTGAAACAGTGTTCAGGGACTCAATTTTCCTCTGAGGACAGTTTGTGTATAGAGTTATGAACATACACCACAGAATCTGTACACTTCTCCAACTTTCACATTTCTCTACTAAAACTACATAGTGCACCTTTAAAGGTTCGATTTTCAAATGTGTACCAGTTGATACTTTATTAAGGACTTCAGATCTGGTTGAGGTAAAATGATAACAATAAGCTCCTCCCCTGCTGTAGAAATTTAAATCTGTGTGGCTCTCAACACAAAGTTTTGTCCAAGTTCAAGCAGCAGCTGCATAAAAAGCTTAATGCTTTAAAAAAAACAGAGCTGAAGCAAAGATTCTAGAAATGCTGACGACCAAACCCTGCTCTTGGCTCTGGGTATCAATTATAGACTGTAGAAAGAATGGACAGTGAAATACCTCGCTTTAAGTGAAGCCAAAAGATTTAGAGCTCCTCCTGCTGACTAGCTACCATAAATCCTGTTCTTTTCTTTGTTAATAATCTAAGGCCGATGTAATTTTCATTAGTTTTCAAGATGTTAAAAAAAACCAAAAAAAACACTCAACTAAAGGAGGCTAAAATTTGGAAAAGCTACAACAGTTGCCTTCATATCCACTTGATGACTCACCGTCCTGTATCCTGCCTGCGAGAGCCTCTGAGCTGAAGCCGGCAAACACCACAGTGTGCACTGCTCCAATACGGGCACAAGCCAACATGGCCGCCACTGCCAGTGGTGACACTGGCATGTAAATGGCAACTCTGTCCCCTTTCTGGATCCCATGGTTCTTGAGGGTGTTGGCCAGGCGGCAGGTTGTCTCCAGCAGCTCTCTGTTGGACAGAGCACAGAACATTGAAGTTGATGAGGATGATAATATTTGTCTTAAAGTAAAGTCTGTCAAAATTCAGCACTACATTCAACTGACAAGTCTTTTCTGGGTTTCCCTCAATCCAGGCTTAAATCTAAAGGAAACTTTTAGGTTGTGGTTCTGATATTGTTTGACTAGCTCTCTCTTTGGATGTAAGATCTGTGAACATCTTTCAAAAGCAGCTCCTGATCCCCAAGCTTAGACTTCCGTTTGTTCTTTTTTGAGCTCCTTGTAACAATTTGCCGCTGTTCTGCTTTATAAAACAATGTTACTTACTCAGTTCTAAAGTTATTTCACATTATTGTGCATTAAACTTTTAAAAAGGTTTTCATCTACAGTAACTTTAAAGGGAGTCTTCATTGGGAACAAGTGCATGCTAAATACAGGCCTTTACATCTAGTTTTCTTTTGATTTTATTACAGCTAATAAGCATAATATTATATTATGATCTTTTCCTGATTTAATGCAGCTGATAATACTATTATTATTACTAATAATACTATGATACAAACACTTCCAACATCTCTGTTCTTAGCTGTTGTGATAAATACAGTATAATGTCCTTTTCCCAATGCAGTCCCACGATGCTCACCAGTATAATCAGGAACTTCTCTTGTTATTGAAAGTGCTGATTGCTGACAGAGATACCTTGTATAAGATAAAGATAAAGCTTACTATAGGAAAGCACAACATCTTGATAACATAAAGAGCAGTAATACTTAAATGTATAGAGGGAGGATAAAGGTGACAATCGGACAGCATAACATATAGATAAGAGTGATGTTAAGTCTTAGGGAGGATACAAGGAATGTATAACTGATTAGATCTTTATCTTTGATGCAGACTTGATGTTTGTACCTGTAGGTAACCTTCACCTCAGTACCAGGCTCATCCCGCTCCCAGATCAGAGCCACTCGCTCTGGATGTTTCTCAACATGAACATCTAGACAGTTCACTGAAAGACACAAACACATCATGATCGAATATTTAGAATCAGAAGTGTTTACTTTTCAGGAAGAAACAAAAGTTAGTTGTGGTTGCAGGTTTTTTTTCAACCCTCTGAAATGTTTTCAGCATGAAGCAGACCTTCCATACAGCCTATTAAAACATGTTGGTTTTGTTCCGTCACATGTTTCGTACCATCTGTCCAAATTGCACTTTTTTTCATTCATTAAATCTGGTTGAAAGAATGTCAAAAATATGGGTCAGGATTTTCATGAAGGAGTTGGTGGTGGGTCGACCAATTGAGAACCACTGCCCTAGGTGATCCTGAAGACAACAAGAAGAGGCTGTTTGTCAGCTAAAGATTTTTCATGAAATCACCCTGTTCTTTTCCATATTGTGCAGAAATGATCCCTTCTTTCTGGTGATTGTTGATACAGTATATGTCGTGTTGAAACGAATCATCATCGCACACCATCATATCCCTGGTGTTGAAACTGGCACGTGATGAAAACTGTCTTCACTTACACTATGATTGAAAATGAATCCCTAAATGGATTTACGGCTGAAGATCCTGTTTTTTGTCTCACGCAGCAGGTTTATAAAATAATTTATGTAACAAGAGAAAATCAGATCAGATCAGACACAATACACGTAATCCAGTCGTCGTTATTGGAATATAATTGGATTATTATCAGAGACAGAAAAACAACAGTGGGGATGAAGACACATAACACTCACTGCAGATCCTCAGATACTGACAGTCTGAATATACTGTCTCAATTATATAAAACAATTTTCCATATACAAAAACATGTCATGATTTGGTCTCATGTAGTTTTGTATTTCAGTGTTTAGGTTTCCATGTTTTAATTTCTCTGTTCCATCCTTGTGTTGCTTGTTTCCCTTGTGTGTTTTTGTCTTAGTGTTTCATGTATTTATTTTGTAAGTGTCCCCAGTGTTTCTTGTCTTGTGTTCATTCCTTCCTCTGTGTGATTGCCCTCATTGTCTTCACCTGTGTTGTTAGTCTCACCTGTGTTTGATTACCCCTGTGTCTATTTAGTCTCTGTGTTTCTTGCCCTCTGTGTCAGTTCATTGTATGTTGTAAGTAGAGTCTAATTTGTCTGTCTATGTCAGAATTTCCAGTGTTTCCTTGTGACTCCATGTTTTCCCCCTTTGGCTTTTTGTTGCACATTTTGAATTAGTGAGTTTTGTTTGCCTTTGGCTTTTTGTTTAATAAATTTAGTTTTCTTGGTATCCGCAATTGGGTCCACCTCTTTGTTTTCCAACCGTTCATGACAAAACAATCATTATATAATCAGCCTACATATATATTTGTACAGTCTTTACTGATTGTCTCTACATGCACATACTCTGTTTTCCTGTCAGATTCCATATCAGATATTCTCAATATATACTGACGGTCAGTCGTATACCAACAGTCTCCATTGTGTTTACTGATAGTATTTTCAACTGACATCATCTAGAGTATATATGGATACTTTTGAGCATTTGGAAAGGTAACACCAAGTAACCACCATGCCTGGAAACAACTACAAATATATGCTCATATGAGCCTGGAATCCGGCGTTAGATTTCTGCTTTTTAATAAGGCAGTTTTTTCTGACCAATGTTCTTTTGCTGCTTTGCTAAAGTGCTCATGATGGATAGGCCGGGTCTTTGTAATATAGCAATAAGTAAGGTTTTTACCTGCTCTTTTGTAATACTAAAAAACAAAGAGTAAGATCTTTTACCTGCTTTTTGTAAAGTGTCTCGAGATAACACTTGTTATGAGTTGACGCTATACAAATGAAGACTGATGTAGATTGAGTCATTGATTTAAATGTGTTGCCATGATAACATTTACTCACAACCCAGCAGACAGGAAAAAGTCAATGGAGGAAAAACAGCAGCCGTGTGATGGTTGATTGTCCACTCAACACTCATTGTTGATACCAAAAGAGACTCAGGTCTTCGTCAATAAGTCATCGTGACTCATTTAGGAAATGATAGGGGCTTAACAAACATTTTTGATTATGTTTTTAAAGTGAAACAGAAGTGACTGTTCAAATAGATAAAAAAAACCATTCACATATAAACCAATGTTACTTTATAACTTTGAATGCAGATACCGTATTAGGCCAACCTTAAATAACATTCATAAAGAGTAAAAAATTAGCTGCATCCCTTCTGAGAAAATTAAGTGTAATTAGCCTACCTGTTAATACACCACTTTTAAATAATAACAATATTGTAGATTAGACATGTAAGGACTTTTACATGTCTAATCTACAATATTAATACTAGAATACTTCTAGTCAGTTTTACTTCGTATAGATTTTCTTTAAGAAGGATCTTGAATTCAGGACTTGAAATCAGAAAACGTTTTAGTGGAGGTCTACTTTTACTTTTAAAAGCAAAAGACCTCATATGGCTTCTTCTTCCACCAATGATATTTCTCTTCTTTTTTTAAACTTTTGTTCCCACCTAGGAATCGCTGGAAAAGTTTTGTCTTGTCTCTTAAATTTTGCGATTGGGACTGACTGACTCTCCACTGAACTCTGCCCTACAAAGCCAAAGTGCAGTATCTTCAAAAATGCCAAACTGAGAAAACCAGCTTTTTGTGTTTTTTGTTTGCCAAGCGCAAATATAAAATTATATTTAACAACCAATTATATGATTGATTAGATGAAAGTGAAGTGAATTTGAAACATATTGTAATTTCAAATTCAGGTTAACCATTTCAGCTTTAAGGCTAAAACTGCACTTTGCCTTTGTTTTACTGCTGAATACAAACAAGATGTATATTCTTTTCCACTCATTTGTTTTGTTTCCCATTTTATTTTATTATTTTATAGATCAGATTAATATAAACATAACTTTTGCATCTTTTTGAGACTTCAAAAGTACTCGATAAACGGAAACCACCACTGTTTTCTCTCTTTCACTTGCAGCAGTCATTGGATACAAATATTACTTTAAGATCTGTAGATTTATTTTTACTTCAGGTAGGCTACTTTTGGCTAGTAACATAACAGTGATTGAGTCGTTTTAAAACGTGGTATCAAAAATAAGTTAAACTTTTCACATCTTTGCTTTACATATCTCCCTTTTCTGCATATTTTCACCCATTAGGCTACATGAGTGCGGTAAATAACCTCCCCAGTTCTGATAAAATTGAGTGCGTTTACATTGAGTATCCTGGTTATGAGCCTAAACCTGATTGGTCCTAAAACCTCACAGTGTATTTTACAGATACTGCGTAACTAAAAAACCCAATATCTCTGGGAAATAAAGCAGTAGAACTACGAAACTCTCACAGATTGAGGAGCAGATACTGCACTTACGACTTGTGTAAAGAAGTGAATTTCACAAAAAGTGCACATACTGCACTTTGGCTTTGTAGGGCAGGGTGGCTTCATGGTTACCGGTCAGTTCATAGTTTGAAGGAAGTTCATTGATACGGACATCCCAGGTTACCTGATATGGTTTTTTCTGGATAGTTAATTGATTATAATATTGTATTGATAGATTGACAGTTGGTTGTTGCACAAAGTTTATCCGATCATCTCTCACCAGACACGTTAAGCTTCCCTCCCAGGAACCAGCTGATTTTCCCGCTGCTGAGCTCACAGTCCCGAACCCGGTGGAACGGTTCGACCCAGCGGAGCCGGTCGGCTGCGGCTGATCCCCAGAAATGATCCGGATCAGTTACCGAGAGCCGGTACAGATCCCCGTGGGACAGCCGAGACAGTTCGGAGCTCCAGGTGACCGATGGGGGAGCCGGTGGCAGGGAGGTCAGAAACCTGTGTTGTCCCGGTCCAGTCCGGGTCTGACATGGTCCCTGGGTTCTGCAGTGGTTCAGGAGGGTCTTAAACAGTCTGGTCCCCCTGCTGCTGGGAGCAGCCATGTTGATTCTCTGCATCAACAAGTGTGTCTGACACACCTCAAACCACAAGCTCTCCCCACTCTCTCTCTCTCTCTCTCTCTCTCTCTCTCCCTCAGGTGCTCAGGTATGCAGGTATGCTGGTGAAAATCACGTGACGTAACTTCATGCTGACAGTGTTAAGAAAAATCGTTTGATCTCTTTTTTTCAAACAATGAAGAGTCAAGAAAGTTCAATCTCACTCAGATTTACCACCTAGCATTTTTTTTAGTCCAGTCTACATTTGAAAATAGGTCACTAAAACTTTTTCCATGATCATGTATTTTATTTTATACATTTGATTAATCCAGAGAGAAATTATGTTTTTGCTGTAATAAGACATGCTACACGACTTCAAACCTAAAAAGCTAAAAATCTATAGACATGCATTAAAGGAGTGAGGGGGCAGCACAGGGACTGGAGCCCTGAGTAGTTGGGGGTTTTGTGCCTTGCTCTAGGGCTCCCCGGCAGTACTCGGGAAGTGAGCTACCTGTCCCAATATCCATATGGTCTGTACCGGGAATTGAACCATACTGTCATGCCTCCTTTTTTCATTTTGATTTAATTGATTACATGTGTCCTAAATGCTTTTCCTATTTCCTCCGTATTTTTTTTTTTTTTTTTTAATTCCTGAAACTTTTTTTTTTTTTATTGTTTTGGTTGAATGGTCATTTTTTCATATTCCTCTGTATCAGATTGTAGTTGTAAATATTCAAGTTGGCAGCCATACTGTCAGCATGAATTCTTTTTTATATGTAGGCACAGAAATATCTGTTCATTTGAACAATTTTCTGGCCTACGTTTCCTCGCTAAGCTACAGGAATGTTTGTTTACATACTGTGCTGTTTGTGCTCTGAACACACTGCTAGCTGTGAACCAAGAACAGTTGTAGAAAACAATATAATTTTGTAACTGAATTTTACAACGTTATTTCAATGCAAACCTAAATGCTTCATATTGTGTGTGATAAGCATCTTAAATGCATCTATTCACACGAAATACAATTTAAAAAAAGTTGTGATATTCTAAAAAAAGAAAATGACTAAACTCCATACTTCAGGCATAACAACAAGCCACATCATAATTGAACATATTATAACATAATCATAATCAGCTCTGGCAGCTGCTGCCACCTGTAGGTCAACTCAGAAACTGCACACTGAAGATCAAATTTGGATCAATAACTTTGATGAGTGCAATATCTGTTCCATGTTTTATGTTAAATGTAATATTATTTTGTGTTTTGATGCTGAAGCAGTTTCATTAGCAGAACAGAGTGGTACGGTGGAAAGCTCTGGAACAAGCCAGTGAGTAACTCCAGCTTCTCAGTTCGTTAATAAACTCAAATTCAAAAACTACTTTGGAATATGGCAAGCCATTTAGGAAATTAATATATTGAATGAAACTTTTAATACCGGTATATTGAATGAAGTCTGAAAATATGAAATGAAACTTTGAATATATTGAAGGAAGTCTGAATATATGGAATGAAACTTTGAATATATAGAATGGAACTTTGAATATATGGAATGGAACTTTGAATATATGGAATGAAACTTTGAATACATAGAATGGAACTTTGAATATATAGAATGGAACTTTGAATATATAGAATGGAACTTTGAATATATAGAATGGAAGTCTGAATATATGGAATGAAACTTTGAATATATAGAATGGAACTTTGAATATATAGAATGGAACTTTGAATATATGGAATGAAACTTTGAATATATAGAATGGAACTTTGAATATATGGAATGAAACTTTGAATATATAGAATGGAACTTTGAATATATGGAATGGAACTTTGAATATATGGAATGAAACTTTGAATATATAGAATGGAACTTTGAATATATAGAATGAAACTTTGAATATATAGAATGGAACTTTGAATATATAGAATGGAACTTTGAATATATGGAATGAAGTCTGAATATATGGAATCGAATTTTGAATATATGGAATCGAATTTTGAATATATAGAATGGAACTTTGAATATATGGAATGAAGTCTGAATATATGGAATGGAACTTTGAATATATAGAATGGAAGTCTGTAGTGTTATTTCAGCTAACAACTCAGAGGCTGTGTCCGAAATCACTCCCTATCCACTATATAGTGGACACGTCATTTTTTAGTGCTGTCCCAGTTCTGAGTGAGCATGGTCATACCCTATATAGTCCACGCAATGTATCCCACAATGCATTTTGAAAAGTAGTGTATGAGCGATGGTCACTATGCGAGCAATACTGTATATACCATCATGCATTGCGGTTCAAAAGATTTTTACGAGTGGAGAGTGGCGTTTGACTCGGCTGCTCTCAAACGGACGAGAAGAGCGACCAGCATGAACACAGAAACTTAATAAAGTTCATATTCAGAGCGTTTTACAGAAATCTATGATCAGTTTGAATAAAGATTAAAAGATCGTCAACTTTAGTGATGTTAGTTTGTCCTAATGATGATGACAGACGAGAAACTAGAGTCTGTGAGCATAAATAATTTAGTTTTGGTCCGAAAATATGTCTCAATATGTAAAATTCAATATTTTATGTATTGAATGAGTGAGTGCGCTATATTGTCCACTGCATTAAACTCACTATATAGTGAATAGGGAGTAGGGAATGAGTGAGTGATTTCGGACACAGCCAGAGACTAAAAAAATCCCTAAAGATGGATGCACAAAGTGTGCTCAGCAATGATTGTTGAACATTACTACTCATAAGCAGTAAAAGTGTTCCAATAACTGAACTATGATCTTCAAGGTGACGCATTCTACATTCCAAATTATTCATATAATTTTGAGTACAAACAGCTGCTTCGAAAAAGTTTTGACGTTCAACAAAGTATCGGTACATTTCAGCTGATGTCATTTTGCAAAACCAGCATATTCAGCAGGGTGTCTTTTTGATGACAACAATGAAAGTGGTGGATTTGGAGAATTGAAATCAGCTTCCATTCAATATATTCAAAGTTTCATTCAATATATTAATTTCCTAAACGGCTTGCCATATTGGAAATAATACTTGTATTTCTAAAATGACATTGCTATCGAATACTACAATAATGAAAACAAAAACTAAACAGAATGTGGAAAAAACTTTAGGTAAACAAAATAAATTAACTGTAGAATATTAGAAGCTTGTCTGGAATCATGTTTTATATTGAATGTTACTTTTTTCTCAACTTTGATTACATGTTTTCAGTCTTTTACTGTTTATTTTTTTTGTCATGTCACTGATTTTTTATATAAAGTATGTTTCGTAAAATAACTTCTTTTAATGTATATAAATTGTACAACATCTTTATCATAAACATAGGCCGAACTATAAAGTAGTAAAGACTCTTAATTTTAACATGAAGAAGCCAAACAAAAACAAACACAATACATAAAAAAACTAAATGTTTTTATATATATTTTTTTATTATATTAAAGCTGTTTGTTTTCAAAATGAACCCTTTAAGTAGATTAAATTAGCGCTGCCTGAACCTGCAGCTGGAAGCGGATTAGTTTGGCTCTATTGTTGTTGTTTGTTACAAATGATAATGTGAAACATGCAGATCAGCAGCTGGAAACTGATCTGTGTACAGCTTCATATAGGTATTTAAGTAATGAAGTATATATGAACTATTATTCATAGGTGTAGTTTAGGCCCTATAGGCTCTACCAGTTTTAGGCTCCCCCGCATCAATGTGAGTTTGGGGTGTGGGGGGTCCCAGATAGGACCAGTAACCTCTGACCTCAGATCTACTCTTTCCTCACTCTCACATGAATATCTGTGTTTTCATCAGATACTTTAATCTGGTTGATCTTTCATAATTCAGATGATAAGTGGGGCTCCTGTGTGTAATCCGGCAGGCCTTAGAGTGTTTGTGTGTTTTCCTATGCACCAGAGGCCAGATTAAAGGATGTATACAACTGTTAATCCCACCTTTGTGTTTCTACAATCAATTTAATCACCTTCATGACTTTTAATGATCCTCTGTTAATCTGTTGATAGAAGCAAAAAACAAACATAAATATTATCACATTCAAACATCCTGAACACGCAATCTCATCCCATTCACAATCCACCAAACACAATTGTTATGCTATGTTTAGAGCCACTTTAAGGGTGAATCTGGTTTTTTAAACCTTGATCCTATATTTGACTGGTTTCTGTATGGAAATGATCCAGTGCATCACATCAGCCAGCAGCAGCAGAACAGGCTGTAACGGCTGCATCCTATTCTTTGAGGGTAAATGTGTACAATGCTGAATCACATCCACCAAAAGTGCTTGTCTTTTGCACTGCTTGTCTCAGATTGTTATTCTCAGAGTATAAAAACATTACAGAGGGATCCCTACAGACACAGACCATCCGTAATTCAGTTAACATAAAGTGATTTGAGCTCACAGAACACATTCATTTCTGGGTAGGACAGCTGAAGAGAGGCGGGAAATGGGAAGAAAGAATGGGGATGACATGCTCTTAATTATCAGGGATCAGGGAAGTAGAGTCAGTCACCAGCCTATTGAGGACTACAGCCTCTTTTTATGGGACAGCTGCTCTAGAATATATTTCTTTGACCATTGTTTCAAATAAGTATGCATCCAACAAAATGTATGTCACACACAATAAGACAATAAAATAAGTATGGTGATTAATAAGTGTGCTTATTGTGTATTTCTGAGCAGGAAACCTAAGTAACAGTCAGAGAAAGCAGTAGATCAGAAACTCGTTTCTTTCATTAAAGTCCTGTTTTTGTCAATAGGACCCAGTGGCAAAGAAGAGAGCCATGCAAATCTATTTCTGGATAAATAGGGGATCTTAAACATAATTCTTTCTAAAAACAGACATAACAAACGGAGCCTGTCAGAGGCACAAAAAAGCGCTTTAAGTCAACATACTGTAACTCATCAGTTGTGCGCCTAATAGGATGACGTTGAAGCCACGATAGTCCATGTGACAGCTGCCAGTTAAAGCAATCGACATGAGAGACTCTACGAGTTTATGTGGATATTAATCATTTAGACCCCAAACAATGTAAAATAGGACCCAAGTTCAAAGTGTGT